CTGTTTTATTGTTGCTATGCACTGGAGAACCTCTGTCAAAGTGACTTTGGCACCGCTGTGTATCCGCCTTTCTCCCTTTGTCTTCCAAACCTTTTGCCAGTGTTTGCAGTTATCCGTGTGCTCAGCGATGGAACAGCCTATTGTTAGTCTAACGAGGGCAAAGTCACACTGGGATTTTTGAAAAAGAAAAAAAGCCACTTCTTTACCTTACCTAAAACTTTGTTAAATATTAAACTAGCCATACCAAGGAGTTTAATGAAAGCAAACAGTGAGGGTTCTAAACTTAAACCTAATAAAGTAGAAAGTTAATATCGGGTACAGAGTGTTTTCTGTTTTAGAAAAGCTGGCTATGACAATACACAAGTGCAAATCAATGGTGCTTTAGAAGGTTTGGTTACAGAGAGCGAAAGTGAAGCAGAGCCTGTAAAATGCCACAGAGGTTTGGCCACAGAGATCTTTTTGTGACTCCCAGAGAACCCAAACCTCTCTGGCACTCAGGGTAGAATAGCTCCTGATGGGATGTATAATTCTTATAGCTTTTATTTATTGTATTTACTTATAACTTATAATTCTTCAGAGCACCCACGAAAGTTGCTGCGCTTTGTCCCACTTCAAGCAACAGAAGTGGTGCTCAGAAAATACATGGGGAGATTGTGTTGCAAGACAGCTGGGGTGGTTTCCTTTCCCATCCCCACGTGGTCATCGTTAGAAATTAAAAATGTGCGTACACCTCACCAGATCTTAGATACCAGGGCACCTCCCCAGCACTCTTTGAGAACAGAGCTGCTGATGGGATCAAAAATCATGCATGTAAAATGTAAAAAACAAAGTATAAAGCACAAGACACAGACTGACTGCCAAGAGTTGAGAGGTCTTTGCTTAGATTGAATGTAATAATTTGTACCTACTTTGTTATTACTGGTGAGCCCTGGTGAAAGCTGCTTCTTACGAGAAAAACCTGCATAAGTTTTCTGGGTCTGATCTCTTCTTTAACTCCTGTGGTTGTGTTTCACTCTAAAAGGTTTCCAAGGGAGTAGGGAAGAGAAAGGAGAGGAGGAGAATGCGGGAACTCTGAGAGTGTCCCCTTCCTCTCTGTTTTCAGGAAAAACATCTTGTCCAGCACAGGAGCATTAAACTTGCTGTCTAAGTAGAAGGGGTATCTGGAAACAACAACCAGAAAACAGACCTAATATTTGAGATTCTATACTTACAAGAGGTGAAATACGGTTGGAAAAAATACTGAGAACTCATATGGATTTTAAGTAGCTAACTAATAGTGGAGATTTTAAATAATAAAAAAACCACAACAAAACAACAAACGAACCAAACAAACAAAAAGGGTATCACCAACAAAAAAGTGCTCTGTGGGTTGCAGTGGAAGTAATGAGCCTTTGGTAAAATTACTGGAGTGTTAAAGGCATGTTTGTGGCCTATGGAAAGACATAAGTGGGCAATAAAAGCTGTCCTCCGGCTGGTGTTCAGATGGAAATGAGGAAGATAAGAGTGTGAGGCAAATCAAGCAATGAGAAAGGGAGAATGATCTATGGTGAAAGAAAAACTAGCAGAACAACTGTGGAAGGTTTACAAAGAAACCAGTGTAATAAATGTGTTGAAATAGCTATTACTGTACTTTACTGATTTATTTTCTTTAATAAGAGTATGGATACAAAGGCAATGGAAGCAGACTGAGTCCTCTTCTTTAGGCTGAAAAATCTGAACTGAAAGAAACTTGTGTCCACTTCAGGACAGGAATAGAGGGGATTAATACTATGCAAAACCAGCAAGGCCTTAATGTGAATACCAGCAAAGAGGAAAATACCCCTTGAAAGAATGCTGAGGGGACAAATTGTGAGTATGGGCAGGGAGCTTCCTGGTTTTACACTAGCCTCGAGATGGAAGAAGAGAGCATATAATAACATGCTTTAAGGTCTTGCTTTTCAAGGATTTTTGAGCAGGAGGCAACCTGTTCTGTCTTAGTTCTCAGCTGCTGATGGCATCTGCAGTGGTCAATTAGATATTGTTCCATTCATAGTAGACCAAATAGTGACATAAATTAAAAAATGACAGTCAAAAAGCCTTTTAGAACTTAGTTTTTGTCCAATATCTAAAAATATTCTGACAAATATAGAAGTATCTGAAGGCTTAGGGCTTATTTGTTATTTCCCTTATTCTGTTTGCATTCTGGCTGTGACCCCATAGGAGTCCTGATCTGCTGAAGGTCTTGGCGTTGAACTTGAGTTCACCGGTTTCAGTGAAAGTGGAGTGGATCCATTTGCCTTTGCTGGTCCTCGACGCCGAATGCCCAGCTTGGTTTTGCTTAGGGCACAGCTCTTGCTTAACACAGTACGAATTTGTGTGGTTTGTGTTATGATACACTCAAAAGAGAGGTTTTGTTTTAACATAGGGTCATTAGTAGACCAAAGTTATTTCCCAAACCGATAGACTATCTCCTTTTCTCCTTTTTTTAGGGCTTTGAATAACTTAGAAATGACTGTCTGTGTAACAACTCCGTAGAGAAGGTTTATGTAGACAAATTCTGCTCCTAGCCAGTAGTAATTTTAAAGTGAGGTAGTGTTCATAAAAACATCATTCATAAAAGTAGCATTAATGAAAGCTGTAATGAGACCAAAGAAACAGGAATAATTGTGATGTTTGTACTTCCCCCCGCCCGCTCCCCACTTTAAGCAAGCAGAAGTACTTTTTTAACTACACAGTGCAAACAAGAGCTATCTGATGTGTCTGAATGGGCTTTGGGATTCAGAAGATAACTCAAATAGAAATTAGTAATGCACTAGAAGCTGTGCTGCAATTTGATTTATGGCAAAAGCAATCTTCAAACAGATTTGGGTTTAGTGTGTATTTTTTTGTCTTCTCATGAAGTGAGAACTGAAAATTAGACTAAGCCATGTGTGATGACAGAGGAGGAAAGTGCTATTAATCAAATCCACTTTTGTTTATGTCTTCAAAGCCTTTCTGCCACCTTTTCCATTTTTATCTGTTCCTATGTTTTCGGTTTAGCCAGCATTTATAGTCTAAAATGAAGTACAGTAGCAGAGTGACTTGCTCAAGATAATGTGCTTCTATTCCTAAATACTTTCTACTCAGGAATGCTGGATGTTTCTAGAATCAGGATGTTACTTTTTCAAGATATTGCAAGCTAATTATTCGTTAAATATAATCCATAGTCTTGTATTTAAAAACAAAACCAACCAACCAACCAAAACCCAAAACAAACAACCCCCCCCACACACAACAAAAAACTCCCGATGAACTGGTATACTTTGTGCTACTGCTGGTACTGAAAAAGTCCCAAAAATATGTCAGTCTTGAAATGACCTGATTTGAGAAAATTTGATGAACCAGTTAGACAAAAAAAAGGTGCATGACTATATTACTTCTTCATACAGAGGAAGAGTAAGCAAAAGTAGGTATCGAGCCCCATCAGTGGATTAATACCAAGCATAATTACAGTACAAAAGCATTGGTGTTAAAAAAGATTTCTCTTCCAGCTGTGTTGCCTTAGCCTATGAATACCCATGAGTAGAGGGGAGGGTTTGTTAACTAAAGTTCACTGAATTGCTTTGATTCAATTGTGCAGTGTGTAGCTATCTTACTTCAGTAAATACCAAGGGATTGGCATTTCTGTTGAACTTTCTGTGTATTCACTGTCACTTAAATTTATCTTCTTTGTGGGTTAGTATGCCGCTCCCATTTGCGCAGGGAATGCAGTGTTTTACCTGAAAGGTTTTTGCAACTTTTCTATAGGGTGGAGGCTGATCAGCGTTATATTAAGAGAGATAAACAGTTTTTCATCTTTTCCCTGGAAGATGAATTGAAAGATGAGAGAGGAAGACTAGCAGACAGATTAACAGCTCCACAAACTGGTTTATTTTACAAAGCTACGTACTGATGCCCTGACCTTGCATTGGAGAGCTGCATCATTGCTACAGAAGCATCATCCTGCACTGTCCGATGTGTCTGTCCTTGCTTGGTTGTTTCTCTCAGATCTTAGTTTTGCTTTTTGGTTTACAAGTTTTAGTACGGCTGCACTAAAGCCAAGGCGCTGAGTAAACGCTCACAGTTTCTCTTGCCTGTGGTTACAAACAAAAGGCTATGGAAATGTGGGGGTTTTTTAGTGTACTTGAAAAATAAAAAGAATTCTCTACTTGACAGGAATAACTACTCCCATAAACTCATGTTGTAGCTTGTATGTTACCAAGGTACATATATCAATAGAGGAGAAAGAAAAGCAGAGAACTGTTTGTTTCTTCATTACCCTTGGCAACGGTATTATCTGTGCCTTTCATTTTTGTAAATGCATTTTTTGTGCTCCATAAAAGCTTATGTCTATTCTACGACTCTCAAAACCTGAGCACAAATGCAAGTGTGTGGATGTATACATTTCTGAGAACATCAGGTTTTTATTTGTGTCATAACTTTTATAAAGAGGATGTGAATGTGGCCTTTGGAGTGCTTCGAATTGGCAGTCTAGTGATCTAGATTAGTGTTTAAATTCGATGTAGAAATATGTTTTCCTTATGCAGTACTGTATTTTAAGTTCTTGTAAATGTTGCATTGAATGTATACTCTTGTTTAATCTGTTAGCAATGACGTATGATCTATTGCACTCACTGTAAAATGTTTTGAGTAGGTATGTCATATTCTCCTGTCTCTGTTCATATGCTGCTTTTGTATCTAAAGCAAAATAATACCTTCACAGGTTGTATATTCTTTTGCCTGTCTTCTCTAGTATGTTGAAATTTGCCCACTACTTCTACAAGTTGGCCAAAACCATCCTGTGTTACTTTAGAGACATTTCATAAAATAGGAAGGACTTAGTTGGGGGGAGGAGGGGAAAATAAGTGCTTTTTTATTTGTTCATTTAAGCAGGCAGGTATACACTGGACAAAGATGTTAGGCAAGTGTTACTGCTTGTTTGTATTTCAAGATAATTTACTTGGTACT